ACTCAGACATCCTTTTAAAGGGCCAGTCTACAAACTTGCTTGCAAGCACTCACCTAAAGCTCCAGGGTAGGGATGGTGGCTCAGAGGGTACCAGAGTCATACAGAGAGAGACTGAGTTGTGTGGATTCGGGGACAGGACTGGAGGAACAGACATCAGTGTTCCTGTATTGAGTTCCTGTATTGAGTGCAGACAAATGCCATCTTTCCTAGGTAAAATACTCCCCTTTTAGGACATTAGCCTGGACAGCTACTCTAGCCCAAACCTGACAATTCCCAGAGGCCTCACCCTACCCAACTTGTTGACTTCTGGAAGCTCAGCCAACAGCAACTAGCCTGGGCTCCCACTGCAGTCTCTCTTTAAAAAATCTCAAGGAATTCAAGGCAAGCTCAGGCTGAGGCAGAGTAAGGTGGGGGTTGGAGGGAGCAGTGATACACAGAAAAAAACTGAGTTGTGTGGTTTTAGGGTGAGGGGCATTTTCCCACATTCCCAACAGGTACCATCTTTGCTGTGTCAAGTCTTCCCTCCACACAGCCAAATATTAATTTGCTTTAGCCTGATGAGCACTATTACCTCCACCATGAAGACTGCCTGAGACCCCGCTCCACCACAAAGATTCACAGGCCCCAGGCAGGTCGTGGCTGGCCTAGGTGTACCCTGAGACTTAGGCTGAGTGGCTTCAGACCCAGCACTGATGCCAAGTTTGAATCCCTATTAAGCTGGTGAATAACACTCTCCTCACACTGGTGACTTCCTAAGAATATGCCTTATGTAATTCATGCACCACCAGAGGCTCTTTCAGTAAGTGAGTCTAACAGGAAGCTGTCACCTACTGGTGGGCCTCAGGGTACCTTAGGCCTTTTGCTAACCTCTCCCAGGCCTGATACTGGTGGCTATGCAGGTTGGCACCTTTCACATGCACCCAGGCCCAGCACAGGCAGCTATCAACTATGGATCACTTTGTAGCTCCTAACAAGTAGCTCAGGATGAGTCAAAGGTAGAGTCTGACATTGATCTGCACCAGAGTCCCTCCCAGAAATTCCCAACCAACATACTAGGTGGCTGGGTTCAGACCACAGCAGAACAAGACCTGATTAGCTCCATAAGTGACACATTCAACAGGAGATCTCAGCAGGTACCAGACCCTGCTGGGTCAAATTCTGCTTTGTGGGGTCAGCCCCTGCATAGCAGCTTGTACACTGTGGTTATGGCCAGTCCTCACATCCAGCGCATCTGAGGGTCAACCATATCCATGGACATTCCAACAACAATTGAGGTTCAACTACAATAGGAGGCCACACATAAGTCACACAAGGGACACTCCTAGAGAACCCAGCTAAGGGGATCAGGGAGACTGGGCTCCACAGGAGACCAACTACGTAAGGCCACTATGTCATGACTTGGAAACATAGAAGATCTATCTAATACACAGAAAAAACAAACACAGAGAGGCATCCAAAATGAGAAGGCAAGGAAATATGTCCCAAATTAAAGAAGAGGAGAAACCTCCAGAAAAAATAACTAAATTAAATGGAGGCAAGTAAACTACCAGATACAGAGATAAAAACAATGGTTATAAGGATGCTCAAGGAACTTAGGGGAAGAATAAATGAACTCAGTGAGAAATTCACAAAGAGATAGTAAGCAGAAAAGATAGTAAATAACAACAGTCAGAAAAGAAGACTATAATAAGTGATTACAGTAGTTTTGTAGTATAACCTGATATTCGGTATTGTGATCCCACCTACTTTGTCCTTTTTCACGATTGCTGTGGCTATTTGGGGTCTTTTTTGGTTCCATGTGAACTTTTGAAATATTTGTTCTAGTTCTGTGAAATATGTCATTGGTATTTTGATGGGGATTGAACTGAATCTATACATTGCTTTTGGGTAATATGGACATTTTAATGATGTTAATTATACTCAATAATATCTGATAAAGGTGGCAAGAGCATACAATAGAGTCAAGACAGCCTCTTTAATAAATGGTGTTGGGAAAATTGGACAGCTACAAAAAATAAAAAATGAAGCTAGACCACCAACTTATACCATACACAAAAATAAACTCAAAATGGGTAAAAGACTTAAATGCGACTCATGAATTCATAAAAATCCTAGAAGAAAATCTAAGCAACAAAATTGTGGACATCATACACAGCAGAATTTTCACTGATACATCAACTAATGCAAGAGAAACAATGGAAAAAATGAACATATGGGACTACATCAAACTAAAAAGCTTCAGCACAGCAAAAGAAACAACCATCAAAATGGAAAGGGAACCCACGATATGGGAGAGCATAATTGCAATGATACATCAGATAAGGGGCTAATTTCCAAAATATATAAAGTACTCATACAATTCAACAAAAGGAAGACAAAAACAAAAAAACAAAAACAAAAACAAACAAAAAAACAATTAAAAAATGGGCCGAGGGCCTAAATAAACACCTGTCCAAATAGGACATATAAATGGCCAAGAGACATATGAAGAAATGCTCAACATCACTAATCATCAGAGAGATGTAAATTAAAACAACAATGAGGTATCACCTCACACCTGTCAGAATGGCTGCCATCAACAAATCATCAAACAACAAGTGCTGGAGAGGGTGTGGAGAAAAGGGGACTCTAGTACACTGCTGGTGGGAATGCAGACTGGTTCAGCCACTATGGAAAACACTATGGTGTTACCTCAAAAAGTTAAAAATTGAATTGCCATTTGACCCAGTAATCTCACCTCTAGAAATATACCCTAAGGAGTCTGAAACACCAATCAGAAAGAATATATATACCCCCATGTTTGTAGCAGCACTATTTAAAATAGCTAAGATCTGGAAACAGCCCAAATGTCCATCAGTAGATGAATCAATAAAAAAGCTGTAGTACATATACAGAATGGAGTACTGTGTGCCTGTAAGAAAGAAAGATCTTTAATCCTTTAAGCCAATATTGAGGGACCTGGAAAGTACTATCCTAAGCAAAACAAGCCAAGCAGAGAAAGACAAATATCACATTATCTCACTTATTTGTGGAATATAATAAACATAACAGGGTAGACCCAGAGACGTGGAAATACCTCAAGGGGTGGGAGGGAGGGAAGAGATAAACCACAGAACTTATATGCATGTACACATAACCAATGGACATGGACAACAAAGGTGGGGATGGAGTGGGGGGGATGGGGAGGAGTGTGTCATTGGGGAAAAAAGGAGAAACATCTGTAACAAAAATAAATTAATAAAAAAATAAGTGAATTGAATAATACAGTACAAGGAATCAATAGCAGATTAGATGAAGCAGAGGACTGAATTAGTGATTTGGTAGACAAAGTAGCAAAAACCATCCATCAGAGCAGCAGAAAGAGAAAAATAATACTTTCTCCTTTTTGAGTTTTATTTCCTTTTACTGCATTTTTCTCAACATTTATTCACACAGTATTAAAGTACACATTATTTTGAAATATATTTTTTCTCACCCCCAATCACTTTCTTTTAACCATAAATAACCTATTATTTTTTTTTGAAAAGCATTCTACAAAAAAAATATCTTGATTAAAAAAATTAGTTGCAAAACAAACAAACAAACAAGAAAACATTGTACAAGGTTTTTAGTGGACTAAAAATGAAGTCAGATTAAATGTCTAAAAAAAAATCAGTTGCAATCATTTGTATATGGGCTTATATAATAGTTGTTTTCTCTTATATCATCAAATAATAAACACAATGGTTCCTAACTCTGATTGCACATTTCAATCATCTATAAATTGGTTTAATAGATATGGGTATGGAGGCAGATAATTAGTGGTTTATAAAAGCACTCCAAGTAAATTCTATTTTATAGATAGGCCTGAGAAGCACTGATACAGCACACATGTTACCTTATTTAATAAAAAAATTATATGATTAATATACAAGTAGCACTGTTATCTGGGTAGTTCATGGCAGCAAACTGAGAAGCTAGATTGGATCCAGTTGAGATAATCCAGCAATCTCCATTCATGGGGTAAGGCTGCTATGCTAAACTAGACCTTGGAAAAATAATTCTAGAGAGAAATATAAAATTTACCTTGCTCACAACCCAATTATTGGCAAACTGCAAGAACAATTCTCTTATTTATTTTTGCACATATTCCCTTAAAACTCTCAAAAGAATTATTCATACATTTCACCTTTATACTACCTTTGGGACCTTTCACAGTTTCAGAGACTAGACAATCAATCATTAGTAAAGAGTTACTCCACTTATTTTCTCTTGACTGATACTTTAATTATTCTCAATTCATAAGTTCATACTTAATAAAATGTACATTTTAACTACTATATAAAATGTAAATTATAGTTTGACAATGAGAGAATTTTAGAGAATAGCAATTATTTCATTAATTTAATTTAACTTTATATTGTTTCTGTAGAAACCCAATTTTCTTATGAATTTTTGACATAAAATAGATCTCCAAAATACTTAAATTAATATTATTGTTCATCGATCTAATCTTTGAGGGAGAAATAGTACATACTAATATTCAAGGTACAAAAGATATTATATAAATTTAAATAATCACATCAGTGATTATCTTATCCAATAATATTTATGCTGTCCAGGTCACACAGTAAAAATGTGGTTAAAATAATATTTTAATGTTATTAATATTGATTGATAAGAATCATGTCTTTAAAATCTTAGCACTTGTATTTGTGCCATTACAAATTCTATAGAATATATTCTAACACATTTCAATCAGGTTATTGTCATGATTTGTGTTTGTTACTTTTTCTTTTTGAAATGGTTGTACAGTGTTCAAACATTAATATTTTGGAAAGGGTGAATATTTTCATCATGTGTGACTTAAAAGATAGCTATAATTTTTTTTTTAAAGAAAGAAGGGAAAGCAATTTAAACATTCAAACTCACCTGTTGCAGATTAAGACCCTCATGATCTAAGACTACCCTGTTTATCAGGGTATTTTTCACTATTGCTCAATATGTATCATCCACTCAAGTTAGGGTTATTTTCGTAAGGCTTCCACACTTGCACTTGTCATTGCTGTCTCCACTGATTTGCATATGTTGCTTAGCTTGCCCAGAATGGTTTTAATTCTGAAGAGTAAGGGTAGGTTGAAGGTTTTCCAGCAGTCATATGTGGCACTTAAAGAAAAGTTTTATGATTAAAAAATACTTAATTTTATTATAGTTGATATAACTTTTATTACAGGGGACATCATGAAAAATATTATTACATAATAATAATAAAAATGTAAATGAGAAAGCGATACATAAATTTAATAACTACTTATGTTTCTATAGTAATAATACTGGGACATCCTTAACTTAGAGCAGTATATTTAGTACAATGGTTCTCCAATTATAGCCTGCATCAGAATCATCCAGAGGACTTGTTAAAACAGACTGCTGAAGTCAAATTTCACAGGTTCTGATTTAGTAGATCTGCAGCAGAGTCCAAGAATTTGTATTTCTAATAATTATTCAATTAATGCCCAAGCTGCTAGTCCAATTATCACATTTTGAGAAGCATTAATAGAGAAATTTTAAAAGTTCAAGTTCACTGGAATATTGTTTTTTAGAATATATAAAATGTGTATGCTTAATATATATATGGTTCCCTAAAAGAATAAAAAAAGTTTTAAATGAGAAGTCAATTTGTGAACTGTAAAAAATAAGACCAAAAGAAATTTAGGACCAGGAAGAAAATACAAGCAATTCTTTCTATATAGAAGACACATTTTTAAGTTAATGAAAATCAAGACTGAATTATAAAATATCTATGGATTCCAATGATGTTTATTGCAACACTGTTTATTATAAAAACAAAACAAAACTGAAAAAAAAAAATTAAACAGAGGCTTAGTTAAATATACTATAGTATGCTCAACTATAAAGGACTTAAAAAGAATTAGGTTGATTTGGATGGGGTGATATGGAAAGAATGTAGTGATATATTATTATGCTTTAAAAATTAAGAAACAGGGGTATTTCATAATGGTGGCAGAGTGAATGGAATCTACACAGACAATCTCCCAGAATCAAACTGGGATTACAACTAAAATGAAGACAAATAATCAGGAAAAAGCAACAGAAAAGAAGGTGGAAAGGACCAATATAACCAGGGACAGGAAAAAAGGGCACTGAATCAAGCCTGGTAGGTCTGTGGAGACATGAGAGGGCAAGCTGGGAGCCCACGGACAGCAGTTGTTTAAGCTTTGAACAGCTCCCTCAGGGTTAAAATTCCAAGCTGGTGCCAAGCACAGAAGGCTAGGACAGAACACTAAATTAACTACAGCCACTCACCTTGGGCTCTGGAAGAGGGAGGGTAGACTGGATTGGAACTGGTGGGGACACCAGGGATTTGGAGGGAGCTGAGGATTTTGCTCAGTCACAGCTACACAGACAGTGGCGATCTTGCTCGAGTAGCCCCTTCCCAGAACTCTGGGGAGAAGCAGCAGCCCCTCCCTCAGAGATTTAACCCCACCAAGCTGGGCCAAAGAAATGCAAATTGAAGCTCATTAACAACCAGGATCTGCCCTACCCTCTGGAAATCCTCTTACCCAGAACACTTCAGAGAGTTTTTCATTCAGTTGAGGGCTACAACGCAAGACTCATCAAGTAACTGAGACTAATAGCCTCCAGGTAAAAAGCTGGAGGATAACTGAACCTTTCCTGGGCTTGCAAATCTACCCAGGAAAGTAACACTTTATAGCGGTGTTTAAAGTTGGTCCACCCACACTCATCCAAACCCAGGAGAGGGAGCCACAAACAGCAAAACACCAAAAAGCACAGGCAAAATTTGGCAGGCTTCAAAACTGACTGAGATAGCCAAAATAGTGAAACAAAGAAACAAACCCCAAATGAAAGAACAAGAAAACTCACCTGAAGATGGGATAAATAAAATGCAGTTAAGCAAGTTATCAGAGGTACAGTTCAGAGCAATGACCTTGAGGAAGCTCAACAGCATGAGTAGGGAGCTCAACACCATGAGTAAAAACATAGAAACATTGAAAACCAACCAAGTGAAAATAAACAATGACATAACAGAAATAAAGAACACATTTGGAAAGAATAATCAGCATAATAAAGGGAGCTGAAGAATGGATCAGTGAATTAGAAGACAGGGTAGAAAAGTCAACAAATTAAAAAACCAAAATGAAAAAAACAATTAAAAAACAGAAAGACAGCTTAAAAAAACTGTGGTACAACTGTAAATGTAACAACATTTACATCACAGGAGTTCCAGAAGAAGAAGAAAATGAGGAAGGGCTAGAGAATATATTTGAAGAAATAATGACAGAAATCTTCCATAACTTGATGATGGAAGAAGGCATTCAAGTTCAAGAAGCACAGAGAGCCCCAAGAAAGAAGAACTCAAACAGGCCCACACCAAGACACATAATAATTAAAATGCCAAAAATTAAAGAAAAAGAGAGAATTCTAAAGGCAGCAAGGGATAAAAAACAGGTTACCTACAAAGGAACACCCATTAGGCTATCAGTTGACTTATCTATAGAAACACTACAGGCCAGAAGGAAGTTGCATGAAGTAATCAAGGTAATGAAAAACAAAGATCTGAATCCAAAACTACTCCATCCAGAAAAGCTATAATTCAATGTAGAAGGTGAAATAAAGAGCTTCCCAGACAAGAAATGCTAAGGGAATATATTAGCACCAAATGAGCACTGTAAGAAATGTTAAAAAAACAAACAAACAAACAAAAACAAAAAAAAAACAAAAAAAAAACTGCTGTAATTAGTAGAAGAAATAGGAAGAAAAATATAACCACAATAAACAAAAATGGCAATAAATAACTACATATCAATAATAACCTTAAATGTAAATGATTGAAGACTCCAATAAAAAAACAAACAAACACAGAATAGCTGATTGGATAAGAAAGCATCTCATAAATATATTGTATAAAATAGACCCACCTCACAAGAAAAGACTCACATAGTTTGAAAGTGAAGGGATGGAAAAAATCTTCCAAGCAAATAGAAAGCAGAAAAAAGCTGGGGTAGCAATATTCATATCTGATAAAATACGTTTCAAAATGAAGGCCATAACTGGAGACAAAAAAGGCCACTACATAGTATTGAAAGGATCTATTCAACAGGAAGAGATAACCTTGGTTATATATGCACCCAATATAGGAGCACCACTATATATTAAAAATCTTTTGGAGGACATCAAAGGAGAAATTTAGAGCAATACAATCATAGCACGGCACTTTAACACCTCACTGACATCACTGGATAGACCCCCTAGACAAAAAATTAGCAAGGAGACAGAGACTCTAAATGAAGGACTAGACCAAATGGATTCAATATATATCTACAGAGAATTACACCCCAAAACTGCAAAATTTACATTCTTCTCTAGTGCACTTGGGACATTCACAATGATAGACTACATGCCAAGATACAAACTAAGTCTCCACAAGTTCAAGAAGATTAAAATCATATCAAGCATTTTCTCAGATCACAATGGCATGAAACTAGAAATTAATTGCAACAAAAACATTCAAAGACATTTGAACACATGGTGGCTAAATAGCATGTTATTAATCAATAAAGGGGTAACCAAGGAGATCAAGGAAGAAGAAAAAACCTCCTGGAAACCAATAAAAATGAACACACAACAAAACAAAATCTATGGGATGCAGTGAAAGCAGTCTGAGAGGGAAGTTTATAGCACTACAGGCCTACCTCAAGAAACAAAAAATTTCTAATTGAATTTCTAACCTCTCAACTTAAAAAACTAAAAAGCAAAGAAAAAGAAAACCCCAAAGCAAGTAGGAAAAACAAATAGTCCATACCACCCAAAGCCATCTATAGAGTCAAATGCAATACCCATCAAAATACTAATGACATATTTCACAGAATTAGAACAAATACTTCAAAAGTTCATATGGAGCCCTGGCCAGTTTGGCTCAGCAGTTGGAGCATCGGCCAGCGGTCTTGAGAGACCTGGGTTCGGTTCGCGCTAAGGGCACGTACCTTGGTTGCAGTTTGTCCCCGGCCCTGGTTGGTCGTGTGGGTGGCAACCACTTGATGTGTCCCTTTCACATCGATGTTTCTCTCTCTTCCACTCTCTCCCTCTCACTCTATCTGAACAAAAAATGGAAAATTGTTCTCAGGTGAGGATTAAAAAAAAGTCCATATGGAACCTAAAAAGACCCCGAATAGCCATAGCAATCTTGAAAAAGAAGGACAATATAGGTGGGATCACAATACCAGATATAAGGTTGTACTACAAAGCTAGTATAATCAAAACAGCCTGGTACAGGCACAAGAACAGGCATATAGATCAATGGAACAGAATAAAGAACACAGAAATTGACCCAAGACATAATGCTCAACTAATATTTGACAAAGGAATCAAGAGAATACAATGGAGTAAAGACAGCCTCTTTAATAAACGGTGTTTGGAAAATTTGACAGCTACATGCAAAAAAAATGAAACCAGACCATCAACTTACACCATATACAAGAATAATCTCAAAATGGATAAAAGGCTTAAAAGTGACTCATGAATCCATTAAAATCCTAGAAGAAAATGTAGGCAACAAAATTTCACACATCATACTTACATCACCTAGGGCAAAAGAAACAAAGAGAAAAAATGAACACATGGGACTATATCAAATTAAAAAGCTTATACAGGCAAAAGAAATAATTATCAAAATGAAAGGGAACCCACTACATGGGAGACCACAATTTCCAATGATACATTAAATAAAGGCTTAATTTCAAAAATATATCAAGTGCTCATACAACTCAACAAAAGGAAGACAAAGAACCCAATTAATAAATGGGCAGAGGTCCTCAATAGACACGTCTCCAAACAGGACATACAAATGGCTAGGAGACAAATAAAAAAATGCTCAACATCATTAATCTTCAAAAAGATGCAAATTAAAAATGACTATACAGTATCACCTCACACCGGCCAGAATGGCTTCCATCAACAAGTCATCAAACAACAAGTGCTGGCGAGGGTGTGGAGTTAGGGACTTTAGTACACAGCTGGTGGGAATGCAGACTGGTGCAGCCACTATGGAAAACAATATGGGGTTTACTCAAAAATTTGCAGATTGTTCTGCAATTTGACCCAGTAATCCCACTTCTTGGACTATA